TTGTGTTTTCCATATAATAACTTGTGATCAAATTATTTTCTACATGTTCATCTCCTCTACTAGATTGTAGAGTCCTTGAAGGCAGAGATTATTCCTATTTAGCGTTTATTCTCCCAACGGGAACTTGCGCAGAGTGCAATAAATATTCCTAAGTGAACTTATGAAAACGGGAGATGGATTTTAGGGTAACTATAGACCTCATTAAAGGAAAATTACAGAAAAAAATTATAATTATTCCTTGTCCAAAACCCACAAGTAGCCTCCTCATCTATCCATTCAGTTATCCTAACAACCAAGCTGCAGTCAACTTAGTCAACAGTGCCACCTAGTGGACACTATGGGTAATTATCTGAACTACTACCACTACACCTCCACAGCAACTTTTTGTTACTCCTTAGAACTGTGCATAGACTGTGTTCTTTCATTTTTACATCTTTTCCAAACCACAGCTCAGTTAATGCATTCATAAATTCTTCTATAGATACACATAAATCCTCCTTAGCCTTTTTGACCTTTCTGTTCCAATTCTGTGATAAACTTCCAAAGTCCTTGAAAGTTTTTGAATGTTAATCTACCCAAGCCTCCATCTGTTTTTGCTATAGTCATGTTCTCTATTTTTAAAATTATTTCAAAAAAATATTATGTGTTTAAAAATATTAATGGGGTAATCTGGGAACTGAACTACAGTTTATAGCCTTGACTCCGAGTGTTTCAGAGTTCAAACAGTGAACTTTGGAACTTCATCCACTTGTAAATTGTTGGTTGCTTTAGAATTTAAATCGACCTTTTCATATTGGAAAAGTGGGCAGGAACAAAGAGGAACTTGAAAAATAATAATGGCTCGCATTTTTATAGCTATTTATGGTTTATAAAATGAGTTTTTATCATCATTTGCCCTCTGAACAGCCCTATGAGGTCAGTATGAGGTTCCCCCAGCACAGATGAGCAAGCAAGCCTCACAGGCGTAATATTATAAACTTAGTAAGCAGTGAAGCAAGACTCACACACGAGTCTGATTCGAATTCCATTGTTTTTTTCACTACACCACATTTCTTCTGAGTGCTCATACACAGGCACACTAAACAAACTACCCAGGCAATTCTGCAAAGCCAGCATTAATTTCAACCTGCGTATAAAAGCAATGGAGAAAAAAATCCCCAATCCAGGAAAGTGCAGGATGCTCTTTTTCAAGCCCTTCCCTGTCTCTCTGCCTTTGCACAACGTGTTGTTTCAGTGTCAGAGTGTTCTAAGCAAAGGAGTGGCCTGGCTAAAACTGGAAACCAAGACCTGGCCCACCTTGGGAAGGAGGAGTATACATAAGAAGAATTGAGCCAGGACTCCACTTTATGAAAGGTCTTAAATTTAGACATTTCATATCATCTATAAATGAGACTTATTTTCATAAAGATACACTAACAGGATGAAAGAAGTTGGCATCCTTCTTACAATTTTAAACTTAAAACCTATTCCAGGACCACACTGGCCATAGCAATATTTTTTTCTACATCCTTTAATTATTTTGGGAAGAGCACACTTATATCCCACTGTATTTTGTATGCTAACAGTGTTCATTTCCATAACTGTAACACTTTTTTTTTTTTTTTTTTGGCATTTCTTCCCGTTTTAGTATACTGGGAATCTCAAAAGTTGGAAGTGTCCCAAGCCATTGCCCACCTTTTAGCAATCCTGTCTGTTTCTCTTTTCCTACATGGTTTTCTTTTTGAAGATCTTTTTTCTTTTCTTTTCTTTTCTTTTTTTATCATTATTACTTCACTCCTCTTTCACACCATATCGACACCAAGATAGCGCCCGGTCCACTGTCTGGCGCTAGAAGGTGCTCAGGAAGGACCTATCCGATGGAGACGAAAAACTCAAAGCCAGGAAATGAATCGGTGGCAGCTGCAGCGAAATAGGTTTTGATTCCATCGCGGAGAAAAATACGTTCTAATAGTCTTGGCAATCTGAAGATGGAGTGGGCTAGTAGATGCGATAGTGAGCCCCCGATCACTAACCGAGCACAAGCTGAGCTGAATATCGCCTTGGTCGGGACTGGGGTGGGACACATGGACGGGGGAACGAAAGAAAGCCTGTGAATCGGAAAGTGGGCCCTCCGGGGCCCCAGCGAGAGAGGAGTGGACGGCAGGGCGTGGCGCGGGCGTGTGCGGGACACGGGACACCGGCCGGCGGCCCAGGGGGCGAGGCGTGCTCCGGGTCTATTCCGGGAGCGGCGCGGAGGGGCGGGCGGGGGCGCCGG